CTATCTCAAAAAAAAAAAAAAAACTGAAATACACACCCAGTATATTTTTCCTAAGGAACGAAGGCTACTCTTACTACTTATCTCCTCCTCCATTTGTCTGTCCTCAGTCCAATGCTATACATCGCTGCCACCGCTGGGACATAGTTTCTCAGTATACCAATAACATGGCTAAGATGTTCCTCACCAGATCTGTCCTGGGAAAGGCTGATCACAAATTCAATGAGAAAAAAATTACTGTGAAATGGGTCACATATTTAACTGCATGAAACAGCACAGGCAAAATTTCATAGATTCTCTATCAAACAAGAAACCAGTCAAGTAATCCAGATAAGAGGTGACCATGAGTAAGCTTCCTACAACTTATCATGATTAGTCAAATGCTTCTGTTGTTCACATTATCCCTAGAATCACTATTAACAAAACACTACTCAAAGACAGGCAAAGATTTTAGGTGGCAATGATTTAGCAAGACGACTTACCACGTCTAGAGGGGCATAGTCAATATCCTCCAGAAGGATCCAATGGCCCATGGTGGCTGCCTGTGTCAGGGAGCCAGGCTGCCACACAAACTCTCCAGGGACATCTGTGCAGCGGTACATCCCTAGCAACATCTGCAGGACAGGATAATTACTGAAAGGCCCTAAAGCGCTAATGCTACATCTTTCCATTCTGTTAAACTTCTCTAGGGATATAAATAGGCACACAACCTGAGATATAGTAAGTTTGCCCCCAACAGCATGAGCAATACTAGTAACAATTTTCAGACCTGTAATCTCAGCTCCTGGGAGGCTGAGGAGGGTAGATTGCTTGAGCTCAGAAGTTGGAGACCAGCCTGATAAAGAGCAAGATCCCATCTCCACTAAAAATAGAAAACGTGGCTCGGCGCCTGTGGCTCAAGTGGCTAAGGCACCAGCCACATACACCTAAGGTGACGGGTTCAAATCCAGACCGGGCCCACCAAAAAACAACAATGACGGCTGTAACCAAAAGAAAAAAAAAAAAATAGCCAGGAGTTGTGGTAGGCATCTGTGGTCCCATCTACTTGGGAGGCTGAGGCAAGAGACTCGTTTGAGCCCAGGAGTTGGAGGTTGCTGTGAGCTATGATGCTACGGCAGTCTACCCAGGGGGATAGCTTGAGGCCCTGTCTCAAAAAAATTAAAAATAAAAAAATAAAAATAGAAAAATAGAAAACCTAGTTAGGCAATGTGGTCGGTGCCTATAGTCCCAGCTACTCTGGAGGTGAAGGCAGAAAAATTGCCTGAATCCAGGAGTTTGAGGTTACAGTGATCTCTGATGCCACGGCATTCTAGCCAGGGGTAACAAACTAAGACTGTAACTCAAAAAAACCTGGCTCAGCACCTATAGTTCAGTGGTTAGGGTGCCAGCCACATGCACGGAGTCTAGTGGGTTCACACACAGCACCAGCCTGCTAAACAACAGTGACAACAACAAAAACAAAAATAGCTGGGCGTTGTGTCGAGTGCCAATAATCCCAGCTACTTGGGAGGCTGAGGCAAGAGAATGGCTTGAACCCAGGAGTTTGAGGTTGCTATGAGCTGTGACACCATGGTACTCTACCCAGGGTGACAGATTGAGACTCTGCCTCAAAAAAACAAAAAACAAAAAAAAAACACATTCTTCTCATATTCCCTTAGCAAAAAAAAATACTTGAATATAAATATTCACAAGCAGACAAACCACAAAAACTTGCCATTTTTTCATTACCTTACTGTCAGTTTGATCTCCAAGCTGGACTTTGAGAAGCTGAGGAGGCTTCCTTCTCCCTGTCACTGCAGCTAAATATTCAACTAAGGAAGTTTTGCCACACCCAATTGGTCCTTCCAATAACACAGCATTCTGAGAAGCCACTGCCATAGCCATGGTCTGAAGATTCCTGCAGACAGACTCCACCAGCACATAAGACTTAAGGGCTAGATCGTGTTCACGTGAAGAGCTCCTGTTGCCAGCCTAAGGAAGTAAGAAAGAAACAAAAGACACATCAAGGCTTAGCACCCATAGCACAATGGTTACAGCAACAGCCACATGCACCAAGGCTGGCAGGTTCAAACCAGGCCTGGGCCAGCTAGGCAGCAATCACGACTGCAACAAAAAAAATAGCTGGGCATGGTGGTAGGACCTATAGTCTCAGCTACTCGGGAAGCTAAGGCAAAAGAATCACTTAAGCCCAGTAGTTGGGGGTTGCTGTGACCTAGGACGCCACAGCACTCTACCGAGGGCAACACAATGAGACTCTGTCTCAAAAAAAAAAAACAAAAACAAAAACAAAAAAGGCATGTTGAGAGGAGTTATTCCTGGCTGAGAGTGGTGGCTCAGGCCCATAGTTCCAACACTTTGACAGGCTGAGGCAGAGGATTGCTTTAGACCAGGAGCTTGAGACCAGCCTGGGCAATGTAAGAAGATCCATCTCTACAAAAAATTAATAATCAGTCAGGCTTGGCGACTATGGCTCAGTGCTAGGGCGCCAGCCACATACACCAGAGCTGGTGGGTTGGAACCCAGCCCCAGCCTGCCAAACAACAATGACAACTTCAACAAAATAAACAGCTGGGCAAGCTAAAAAAAAGATAGCTATGGCAGGCGCCTGTAGTCCCAGCTGCTTGGGAGGCTGAGGCAAGAGAATCGCTTAAGCCCAAGACTTTGAGGTTGCTATGAGCTGTGATGCCAATCTACAAGGATGACATAGTGAGACTCTGCTTCAAAAAAAAAATCAACAACAAAGAATCAGCCAGATGTGGCAGTCCACATAGTGTGTGCCTACAGTACCACTTATACTTGAAAGCTTGAGGCAGGAGGATGATCTCTACCCAGATGTTCCAGATTGCAGTGAGCTAGCCTGGGTGAGAGGGAGAGAGCAAGACCTTGTCTCCGGAAAAAAAGAGAGAGAGGGGGTCCAGACGCGGCAGCTAACACCTGTAATCCTAGCACTCCCGGAGGCTGAGGCAGCAGACTGCTTGAGTTCAAGAGTTCAAGACCAGGCTCGGCGCCTGTGGCTCAACCGGCTAGGGCGCCAGCCACGTACACCTAAGGTGGCGGGTTCGAATCCCCAGCCCGGACCCGCCAAACAACAATGACGGCTGCAACCAAAAAAT